AGGTAAAAGTACAAACCGTTTATTTTAAACATATTTTAGTTCTTACATAATGGATCCAGCTCATCCCTCCTGTTGACAAATGTCAGCGTCGTATCGTTGGGGTCGTAGCTCTTGTCATCCTGATCTTGTGTCGTCATTCTGGTTCAGACGAGGTTTGCTCTGTCCACAAACTTGATCTTGGTTTAAACACTACAAATGAAATTAGCACCGAGGATCTTGCTCTGTCTTCCTCTTTTAAAGCACCAAGATTCAGCAGCCCGTTTAACTTTCAGTTTCTCTACGGTACTTACAACAAGTCACATGGTGCACGATAACAGGCTTGCATTCCCCTCTGATATATTCGCACTATGTGTACAGTTAATCCTCACAGCTTTAAGTAGCCTACCATGTGAATATTAATTGTGGTTGTGATAAACAGTTGTGCGTTGGCTTCAAAAAAAGACACCAATTAATGCTAACATTTGATAAACAAACGCTCCCTGGTCACATGACAAACAAAGGTGGAAATCACCCCCTCATAATAAACATTTGTAAACACTTTTACGCAGACGGAGAAGCAGAGATACTACCTTCAAAACAATAAAAAATTATAATTAAAAATAATTAGAAGATGAAGAATTTTGAGCGAAAGTGAAAGAATTTATCTGCTCTCTGACGTCAAACCTTGAAACCAAACAGCTGTTCGCACTGACATATCAGTGACAGACTTTAGAAGCGCAACAAATCGGACTTAAGCGCAAAATGGGAAAAATCTACCAGGTTGTAGTTCATGGACTAAGGGGTCAGAAGATGATGTTGGACCTGTGCAACACTGAGGAGCAGTTTAAGAGCATGACCGTGAAACAGCTCAAGGAAAAATTGGCGCAGAAGCTTCCGGAGACCGCAGGTAAGACGGCAGATAGAAAACAGTGTATGTATGCTTTTATGTTGCTGGTTAATTCAAAGGCATATTTACTGTAATGATATTCTTTATATAAAGTTCCAATCCTAAAGTAAAACACTCAGCTTGAAGTGAAAGTAAGGAAGTGGCGATGATAAATAATGGTTTGATGAAAGTGCATTACAGCATTAGAGATACTTTTCTGTGTCTGTGCGCGTGCGTGTGCGATTTTAAAAAAGTTACTGTCAATAAAAACTGAGTGCAGTAAATAGTGAAGCCCAAAATGAAAGTAAGAACAATTAGTGCAAACTCTACATTAAACTGCTCAAGTTCATGTAGTTATTTGTAGTTGAAGAGTTTCAAAGGCAAAAATGTTAATAAAGCAGTTAGAGAAAAAAATATGTGAAAACTCACTCTAGGAACGAGGAAATCCAACTTTAAGTACATTACTTAAGTAAAGTAAGTAAATGTGGGCTAATAATCTAATCCATCTCTGTGGATGTGCCTAATAAAAATGATATAGATTTACTTTAAAAAAAAATGTGTGTGTGTGTGTGTGTGTGTGTGTGTGCAGGAGAGGAGGCTCTGCGCCTGATATTCACAGATAAAATGCTGGATGGAGACGACACCCTTCTGTCTGAATATGGAATCCAGCACATGTCCGTCCTCCACATGGTGATGAAGGTTCCTGGAGGACTGAAAGCTTGACTAAGATCATCTCCATCTGTCGTACCACTATTGCTGCTACTTTCTGTGATGCTTTAGAACACCTCTTGACACTGTTCACATGTATTGTAAATGGTTCACTTATTATACTGTTTTACTGTTTAGTGACAATGATCGTTTTATTGATCATCCTTTATTCCAAATACAACACCAGTCTGTGTTGTTCTATGAAATAAAACCTTTTTCCCAGTTATTTTCTTTGCGTTTTTGATTATTTTAAATCTTTATTTATTTATTTATTTTGCCAGTTCCCACATTAGTCTCACAGTCATGTAGATGGCCATAAAATATTGAAAGCTTCCGTATGCTCACTTTGAGTAATTTTAGGAAATTGGCAATTGCTGAAACAAGGGACACTGTTTGATTTTCATTTTTTATATTTTAGTTATAGGTGCAAAATATTAAATGTAATAGTCTTTGGCGCCAAAGAAAAACGATTACAGGTCACCAGAGAACTTCAATCTATACACCTAAAAACCACAAACCAGGCGAGAAATTTGGGTGTAGTGATGGATGCAGACCTAAACTTAGAAAAACACATTAAGACAATAACAAAATCAGCTTACTATCACCTCAAGAATATTTCAAGGATAAAAGATCTGATGTCTCAACAGGACCTGGAAAAACTAGTCCATGCATTCATCTTTAGTAGGCTTGATTACTGTAACAGCATCTTTACAGGTCTACCTAAAAAATCAGTCAGACAACTACAGCTCATTCAGAACTCTGCTGCTCGAGTCCTCACTAAGACCAAAAAAGTGGACCACATCAGTCCAGCTCTGAGGTCTTTACACTGGCTGCCTGTCCGTCAGAGGATAGACTTTAAAGTTCTGATGCTGGCCTATAAAGCTCTGAATGGTTTAGGACCAAAATACATCAGTGACCTCCTGACCCAGTATGAACCTTCCAGATCCCTCAGGTCATCTGGATCCGGTCTTTTATCAGTTCCCAGAGTCAGAACCAGACACGGAGAAGCTGCATTCAGCTTTTATGCTCCTTATATCTGGAACAAACTCCCAGAAAGCCTCAGATCAGCTGAAACACTCAGTTTATTTAAATCCAGGTTGAAGACTCACCTGTTCTCAGCTGCATTTGAATAAAGCACCAAATCCACACTTTTAAGCTTAAATTTCAAAACTTACATTTAACTACTGATTTTATCTACTGTTCTGATTTTATCTGTTTTGATTTTATATACTGTTTGTTTGTTTGCTTGTTTTAATCAATTTTAAATCATGCTTTTTATTTGTTTTTGTTTCTAATGTCTCTGTAAAGCACTTTGAATCACCTTGTTGTTGAATTGTGCTATACAAATAAACTTGCCTTTACGTTCTCCAAAATTGTTTTCATAGTTGGTAATAGTTCTAAGTTTAGTTTCAGTTAAGTTTAATAATCATGTTCTCTCAAATGCTTCACCTCCAAAAATGTGTTCAGTTCCTACAGCATAGTCACAAAGCATATTCAACAGTAAACCACAAGTTTGTCTCTGGTGTCTTTTCATAAATATTGAAGCAGCTGAAGATCCAGCTGCAGGTTTGCTGACTCATGAAATTTAGTCTGAACTGGTCCTCTCATGGGTCCCACAAAGTTTAGAAAGGGGTAGTGATCTACCTCAAAATGAAGAACTGAAACTATCCTTTAGGACTGCAGATTTACACAAGTCAGCAGATTCCAAGTTCTTCAGTTCAAACACCATGAAAATAAGTACACAGTATTACATACTTACTTTACGAAGATGAAGAAAACTCACATTGTCATCCTCAAACGAGAGGAAACTGGGTATGATGTTTAAGAAAAACCCAGGAACCATCAAGTCTTGAGCATGCTATCAATTTATAACTGCTGGAACAACATTTTTACTGTCCATAGTGAAGACAGTTATACATCTCTATGGACTGTGAGGCTGCTGACCAAGAAAGAAGCCACTGCTCCATAGTCAGCATCTTCAAGTCTGACTCAAATTTGCAGCTGCTCGCATTTAAAACCAAATGCCACCTGGAAAAAAGCTTTATGGTCAAACGTGACAAAGATTGAATTATTTGGCCACAAAAACAAGAGGTATTTTTGAAGGATTAAATATGAGGCTTCTCAACTTTTTGCTGGAAATATTTTATCAGCTTACTTTAAAGTTACAGTGGGGTGGACACACCTGTTTAACCATCCGGTGGAAGATATGTTTGATACTGTGAAGTGCTTTGAGAGCTTATGAGGATTATGTGAGCCAGGCATTTTGTTCTCTGAAAAAAATAAAAATAAATAAGGGAAATTACCCAGTGGTGTTTGATATGTGGCAACCTGTTGCTTCACATTCTGTTTGACTAAATAAAAAAGTGTTTTGAAGTAATCTGTTAATCTAAGCTGTGAGTGGTGAATAAGGAACTTCACACAGACAGCATTATCATTACCACAAAGGGCAAAGGTTTACTTCAACTGCAGTACATGAAACCCATTATTTGACATAAAAAAAAAGAAAAACTGAACTGTTAGTAATAGTTTAAAATTACGGTTGTTCTGTGGAGACATGACCTTTTATTGCCACAAAGAAACTGAAAGCATATATAAATCTTCTAATATATCTTCTTGAAATCTTATCCAGTTCAAAGTCAGTGATAGCTGGCACCTATCTCTGCAATGTAAACAAAGCAATAAATGACTTGACCACTTGAAAACCAAACAAGATTTTCTAAAATAAGACTTTGTTTCTGAAAATTAATAAATAACCCTGTAAGGTATTATCAGGCTGAATCACAGGGTTACAGACAGATGTATTTATACTGTAGTTTTATAGACATGTTTCCTGGTACAACAAATTTTCTGGCATGATATGATCTCAGCTGAGACTGAAGCAGTAAAAGAAGGTGTGGGAGAAACACCTGTCTACAAAGGACTTGCCACATCACTACTAGGTTTGTGAAAATTACTGTAGCAAAGTTATTAAAACTAAATCTCTGTACGCGCATACTCACATTTGTAACTTGTAGTATTCGTACTTGACTTGCATTCCAATTTTCCGATGTGTTCGCATGTTTAGTTTACTTTTTTCCCCTTCCTTTATGCCCTTATATGCTGTTTTTACAGGTTTTTTCAAAAGTAAGAGTTCAGAGGGGTATAGAACAAAGAAATGTGCTCTCTGCTGATGTTTATTGCTAAAGTGACAGCTGCACATTCAATAATCAAACATGCCTCAGTTTCTTTGCAGAAAAGAAAGTGAAATAACTAATATGAAAAACAATTTAGGAAATATTAAACAGGGAAACAATATATTTAAGATATC